GAGCTTAGAACAGACAGTATCCTGGTCAGAGAGTCCCTCTGCAGTCTGGTAGCAGGCAAGGTCAGAGTGGCTGGAGCTGTCCTTCCGCTGTGGCAGACACTCGGCTGCCTCTCATTACCTCCATGACCGTCTGCATGTGAATCACTTCTCCGGGCCTCGGTTTCCTTCCCTGTAAGGTGGTCAAACTAAGAGAGTGTCAGGAGGAGGATGAGGTAATAATCCACAAAACAGCACTGTGTCTGGCAAGTAAATATAAGGGATTGTTCTTATTCCAGAACAAGCTGGGCACAGAGATGTATACTTCTAATGCTGACACTGAGGGAGATTGAAGCAGGAGGATCCTAAGTTTGTGTCCCACTTGGGCAACTTAGTGAGACCCTGTCTCAAAAATAAACAAGAAGGACCTTGATTGTAGCTCAGTGGTAGGCCCTGGGTTTGATTTCTGGTACTGCCAAAAAAAATTTGCACTGATCTAAGAGGATTAATGAGAGTAATTAGGCAGGAAAGTGCTGTAGGGAGAGGATGGTATGTGGATGTGCAAACGTCCTGGGGTGTGATGTGGAGTTGAAAGCAGATCAGTGTACTGTGGAGCAGGACCAGAGAGGTGCAGAGAGCACTGAGGACCAGGAAATCATTTGTATCTTCCCCTGGGAACTTGGAGGTGGGTGATGGAGGACGGGCACCTGCCATAATGGCCTCCTACGCTCTTCCCTGGCTCAGGGAGAAGGTTAAAATATTTAACAGTTGGCAATGTAGACAGAGACAGGCTGGTCATGCACCATTGTACTATGAGTTACTCTTTTTTTTTCTCTGTAGTGCTGGGAATTGAACCCAGGGCCTTTATACTGAACTACATCCCTAGATCCACCCCCCCCCCTTTTTTTTGTTTTTTTGAGACAGGGTATTGCTAAGTAATTCAGGCTGGCCTCAAACTCCTGGTGATTCTCCTGCCTCAGCTTCCCACATGCTAGGGGCATGTGCTCCATGCCCAGTGCGGGGTTGTAGGGTCCTGAGGAACCAGGAGAGGGGTGGTCAGCCAGAAGCTGTTTCCACACAGCTGTGCCATCCCTTCAAGGCTCTGTCTCCTGGGCTCCCTGTGGCACCCCTTTCCCTGGGGGCCACACCTTCATGTTCTGCAGGAGGCAGCTGGGAGGAGGGGGAGCGAGGGACCCCCCGAGTGGAAGTGTGCTCCCTCCCGCAGGCAACTCCAACCTGGTCTATGCCATCATCCGCAAGCGCAGTGTCTTCCACCAGCTGGCCAATCTGCCCACTGACCCTCCCGCCATCCACAAGGCCCTGCAACGGCGCCGGCGGACCCCGGAGCCCCTGTCCCGCACCAGCTCCCAGGAGGGTGGCTTCATGGAGGGCTCCCGCCCCGCTGCCCCTGCAGAGCCAGGCACCCTGAAGACCAGCCTGGCGGCCACCCCAGGTTTGACACTGGCAGGCAGGTGGGAGGGGGACGTGGCCTCTGGCCGGGGCACAGTGCGCTGTCTGGGGTATCACCCCATCTGTTGTAAGAGTGTGGCTTGAGCTGGGGACTGGGCCAGAACAGCAGGGCTGGAGGTACTGGGCCCCTGGGGGTGGCAGCCTGGGGGAGACAGGGCCTCAGGGCTCTGGGACAGCTGGGGATGGGGCTGGGGTGAGGGACATGGGACTTCTACAGTGGATGGAGGACAGGCAGCCTCAGGGGCCAGGCCAGAAGGGGCACCATGGGACATGGTCCTTCCTCCTGCCTGTGTCCTTCCTGTGCCTCACCTAGGCATTGACAAGCTGACAGAGAAGTCCCAGGTGTCTGAAGATGGTACCTTGCGGTCCCTGGAGCCTGAGCCCCAGCAGAACTCGGCAGAAGGCAGCCTGGCTGAGGGGGTGGGTACTGGACGTAGTGTGTGGGGCAGGGTCTCCCCCTCCTGCCTGGCCTCTGTGACTGGGGCTGGGCCAGGGCACTCTGAGGTGCCCTGCAGCAGAAGGACAGGTGCTAGAGCCCAGGACACCAGAGTTGGCACTACTAAGGGGGTGGGCGGGTCACAGGCCCTGCCTTGTTCCCAGGGTGCTGGAAAAGCCTGTGGCCTTCAGCCCCATCAGCCCATCCATCAGCCTTATCTGGACTGAGGCTGGCCTTTACCAGCCTGCCTGCCAGGACCTGGCCCTAAACCTGTCACTGGGCTGGGCTGGGCTGAGCCTGAGGCCCAGGGCAAAGGGTGCTGGGCTGGGCCTGTCCCTCTGTTGGAAGCGAACTTCTCATGGGGGGCAGTGGAGGGACCTCCCTGCCCTCTGCTCCCACCCTGCCCCCACTCCCTCCCACCTCATTTCCCTTCCTTCCTGGGCGCCAGGAGCCTGGCCAGGCATGGAGGGAACAACGGCGACTCTCCAGCGCATCGGCCAGCAGCCAGTGGACTCCAACAACAGACTGGGTAAGGAGCACACCCAGGGGAGCAAGGGACCGGGTGTGGGCATGAAGCAGAGGTGGGGCCTGGGTCCAGCTTCCGGCCCTAAGAACTACTCAGTCGGTTGGAGGCATCTGCGTGAAAGCTGGCTCTGGATGATACGCCCTCCCTGTGTGGCCTGTCTCCGACATCAGTCAGGTTCTCAGGAAGCACCAGATTTCTATTGCCTGCAGCACAGGCTTCCCTAATAAATTCCTCTTTCTGGATTCCTTCCTTCAATTGCTGTGCCCTCCCTGTTTCCTGATGATACTGGAACTTGGGGGGTAATGTCCTGCCCGATGGTGCCAGTGTGGGTAATAGCGGGGCCTTCCGGAGGCCCGGGCCACTCACTGGCCTGCAGTACTGCTCCAGGTGCCCTTGGCCCTCTCACTTAGCAGCCGTAGATGTGGCATCCCTACTGGTTGTGGGCTGACCATGCAGAGGCCCTGGCCCTGGGTCTGGGTCAGAACAGTCTGGTCCGTAACCCCAGGCCTTCCACCCCAGGTCCTTTCCTGGAAGTCCAAGCTGCCGCTGCAGACCATCATGCGGCTGCTGCAGGTGCTGGTGCCCCAGGTGGAAAAGATCTGCATAGACAAGTGGGTCCAAGTTGGGGTTGGGGAGCGGGTTTGTGCTGGGCCGCCTGGGCTTGGGTGGGAGGCCGCGCAGACGCTGGAGACCTTCGTTGCTCACAGGGGCCTGACCGATGAGTCGGAGATCCTGCGCTTCCTGCAGCACGGCACGCTGGTGGGGCTGCTGCCCGTGCCGCACCCCATCCTCATCCGCAAGTACCAGGCCAACTCGGGCACCGCCATGTGGTTCCGCACCTACATGTGGGGTGTCATCTATCTGAGGTGGGCCTCCTGGGGGTGGCCAGTGACAATCCTGGGTGGGCCTGGGCTCAGCAGGGACCTCAGCTTTGCCTCACCCCCATCCACAATGGGGTGAAGGTCAAAGTGGTCCATGAAGGTGGCCTTGCCCGGTGGAGCTTGGCCCCACTGCCCAGGTTGGGACATCTGGATGGGAGGGGTTGGTTTGGGTTTGCTGCCACCCTGCTCCTCCCCTGGATGTCTGCTGCTCCCTCTGCAGGAATGTGGACCCGCCCATATGGTATGACACCGATGTCAAACTCTTCGAGATCCAGCGGGTGTGAGCAGGAAGCCAGCAGGGGCCGGGGATGGCTGGGGCCCTGCTCCCCAAGCTCCCTGACTCCTTGTTCTGAGCTTTCCATGAGTACTGTCGGGGTCTGGGGCAGGCAGCACGGCCGGGTCCTGGTGGCAGGTTCCAGAAGCGACCTTGTAGCAGAAATGACGGAGATCTGCTCTGACCCCCCGTTCCTAGACTGGTCTTTTAAAAGCCTCTGTCTCTAGGGGTGCAGGCCCTGCCAAAGTCCCCTCCCCACTTTGGCTCCCCTTTCAGGACCCACTTTTGTGATGATCCTCTCTGCCTACCTGCTGCTGTACTGCCCACTCCCAGAAGCCACCAGGTCAGTGGGTCATAAAGAGTTTGCCCAAGAAGGAGCCAGGGTGCCCCTTCAGGTATCTTGGCAGAGTTGGGGAGCCCTCCAAGCCTTGGGAAGAAGGAGTATGGCCTGGCTGCTGGCCTAGAAGCTGGGCATTGGTAGATAGAAGGCCAGACATGGGGGCCTCATCTTCTAGGGACTAGAGTGGGCACTGAGGGCACCCTGATGTACCCCCTGGGCCAGTGGATAGAGCCTGGCTGATCAGGGGTGCTGGTGGGGGCACCTGTTCCTGCCCACCCACTGCCTGGTTAGGGATGAGTGTTGGACCCCTCCATCTGACCAGCCCTGGCCTCTGGGCCTCCCTCACCCCATCTGTGTCAGTACAATCTTTGCTGTGTACAATCGGTCACTTTACACAATAAACCTCCCTCTCCACATTCCACCTGTGTGCTTGGGATCGGTGTCTGGGTGTCAGGTCATGGTCCTTATCTTGAGGCACCTCGGGACTCTCTATCCCAGAGTTAGTCCCTTTATGCATGACTGAGAACAGAAATGTATCACTTTCTTGGTGGGAAAGCAATATTGGTCCCTGTCACCAGAGACAAACCCACATGGGAGAGGTCCAGGGCCTGACCCTCAACCCCTTGCATGTTCCCAGCAGCCGCCACAGCAGTGTTGGGGGCCCTGAGCATCGTCCCAGGCCTCACAGGACCAGGGGCCAGGTCTGCCCTCCCTGGGCCTCACCTTGGTACAGCTGCTGTTTGCACTGGGCTCAGGGAGGTGGATGGGCTGTCAGGCTGCTTCTCACTTTGCTGCTCCGTCCAGGGCTCAGAGGATTGGACAGGCCTGGATCCCACCACTATGGTGAGTCAGCTGCAGAAAGTCCCTCAAGGCTCTGTCCCAGAGAAGGGTGGCATCAAAGGGTGGAGGTGAGGCTAAGGGAGCCCCAATCCATCTCCTCCCCCGTCTCTCATGGATCAAAGACAAGATTGGTTTAGACCCTCCCTGATCCACCAATGGGACTGTCCCAGGCCACAGTCCTCCCCAGGACAACTATCCTTCCCACCGTGCCTGGAGTGTCACATCTATGGCTGGGGACAAATGCCATGAAGCCCGAATGCAATCGATCAAACAAACAGTGTTTATGGTAGCAGGAGAGAGCTGTTGAGCCCCGCCTGGCAGCTAATTAATGAGCTCATTAGAAGACTGGGTGTGTGGGGAGGGCGGGGCAGGGTTGCCTACAGAGCTTCCAACTCTGATCTCCCTGGATGTTCTGGGCCAAACTCAGACTACGTGGCCCTCATAGGAGAAGGCAGGCCCTGAGGCCTGGCTCGGGAGGTGTGCCCCCTCCTGCACCCCTGGATTTCATCATTTATGTCTGATACCATCCCTGAGAGTAGTGGGGCGGGGGCTTTCCAAGGTGCTGCCTATGCTGAATGCATTGTGGTGGTAAGGCAGGAGGCAGGCATGTGCTCGGGCCTGGGAGTGGGCATCCAAAGCTCTACCTAGGCCCTGGCCCTGGTCTTGGGCTATTAGCAGTGTCCTTCTCTCTCAGGAAGGGGGCGGCTTTGGGGTCCCAGCACCTCTTGGAATGAGCCATCTGCTACAATCTCCCCTGCCTTGGCTCTTTGGGGTTCTACTGAGAGTGGGTTTCTTGGAAAGCTCAGGCCCCCAAGTAGACCTCTACCAGCCCCCCGACAGAGTGCATGCGGTAGAAGACCCCCAGAGGCAGGCCAAAGTTGACAATGGTGAACCATGTTCGGTAGCCGTAGAATTCCTTCTCCAGGCCATTTTCAAACTCGGGGTGGATGCCGAATGCAGGCATCATCCATAGCTGTGGGCAGGAGAGAAGGGAGTGAGCAGGGACGTGCTCCCCGTGCCCTAGGCGCTCAGCCGGGGTGGGGGAGTCCTCCAGCACCACCCCACCCATCATCCTGGGCTTTCAGGACAGCGCTTCCCCGCCCTATCTTCTGTGCCCCATACCACAGAAGCCCCAGAAGCCCAGCTGCCTCCCTGGGACAGCCTGAGCTGTGCCTGGGACAGCCTGAGCTCCAGATGGAGCAGCATCCCCAGGCTGCCTCCACACATGGTGTGCGGCGAGGATTCCCATCCAGCAAGCTGCTCTGCCAAACTGGGCTCCCCCGGGCCCTGACTTCACTCTCCTGCTAGTTTTTACAGCTCCACCCTGCCCTTCCACCTTCCTGTCCAAATTCTCTCCATCCTGTAGGGCTCCTCAAACCTCCTGATGCCTGCCTTGGCCATGGGATTCACACTTCTTCCCCCAACTCCTTTAACCAATGTGTTCTCTGCCTGCACCAGGGTTTCATACATGGGGTTTGTTTTTAGTGGATTACAGGTTTGGAGTCAAACAACTCTGAGTTGTCCCAAAACTGCCATTTACAGTAGAACATTGGGCCAAACAACTCCGAAGCCTTGGTGTCCTCATCTGTCCAATGAGGACAGTGTCCATTGCTCTGGATTACTGTGATGACTCGGTGAGATATTGTACAGAGAGGTGGGCCTGGGACTTAGCAGCCACTGGAAGCTAAGTGATCACCTGGATATTTTAGGCACCTTCTGATCTCTTCTTGTGACTGAATTCAGAGTACAAATTCAGGGTAATTCTCTAACTTTCCCCATGGTGGCTTCACAGCTAGACAGTGAGCTTCTGAGGGTAAAACTCCTACTCGTTTGGGAGGAACCCTCAGCTCTGTGCTTGGCACATTCCTCGTGCCAGGGAGCTCGAGAGGGGGGCACTTCCTGTTCCTGTTTGGGAAGAGGCGTGCGATCTTGATTCACTCCTCCCTAATTGAGGATTCTGGGTCCACATGTCCCAGCACCCACCACTTACTGTGATGTTGCAGAGGATGAGGAAGAGTAAGATTTCCTTGAGGATGCGCCGCTTCCAGTTGAGGTGGCTGTAGGAGTGGATGTAGGCCAGTGAGGCCCTTCGCAGGTCCTGGCCCAGCTCCAGCAGGGAGCTCCTGCGGGGGTGCTGGGCCTCTGGCTTCTCCGCTGCCGCAGGGGCCCAGGGAGCCTCCTCCCACAGTGGGCGGCGGTGCAGGCCCTCGATGATGAAGAGGTTCTGGCTGATGTGCTGCAGGATGAGCAGCAGGGAGTAGGCCAGGAGGAGCTGGTTGAGCAGCTCACTGGGGTGAGTAGCCACAATGGACACGAGGGAGAAGTAGGCGATGCCCATCTGGCCGAGCGCAGCACCCATGAGCAGCACCACATCCAGGCTGCGGGTAGGGTTTTTGAGTGTGTCCAGCTCACGCTTCTCCAGCCCGTGGATAGCCGTGCCCATCAGGCACGCCAGGCTCATGGCTGGCAGCACAGCCACATAGAAGGCATAGTAGAGGGTAAAGTACTGCCGGGCAATGTTGGGGCCGCTTGCCTCGATCTGGAAGAGCACAAAGACGCACACACCTGCCACCAGCACCAGCAGGCCCAGCAGTGGCCCAAAGATGGCCCCATGCAGGCGGAAGGGTGGGGAGCTGGGGTGCACGCCAGCGTGGGCGGCCAGGCGGCGGCCCACGTTCTTCCACATGACGAAGAGCACAGCACAGCAGGTGAGGCAGTACTCGGTGCTGAAGGGATAGAGCATCAGGTAGCCCTTCCGGAAGACCTCGCATGCCGTGGCGTTGAGGCACAGGCAGGTGTTGGTCCTGTTGCCTGGGAGTGGGCAGAGCAGGAGGCCACTTTCAGGTGGGCCTTGTTCTGAAGAAACTGGTGGCACAACTGCCCGACCCCGAACTAGCAAGAAATGGAAGGGATCAAGCCAGCTGCTCACTTAATAGATGTGGAAATATCGGTGGCTTATTACGGAAACTGGAAGTCACAAAAATGGTGATTCTTTTACAAAGGGATTTAAGACTTCAGGTAATGAGGTTACATAAAACATGGTGTCCCTAGTGCCAAATGCCACCACCACACATCACTTGCTGGGCAGGACACACCTATTACGTGCAGTGGAGGCTCTGTCTCCCACATCTGAGCACAGTAATTGACCTCAGCTGCATACACTGGGGTAGTGAGCGCTCAGTGCCCTTTGACCAGATGACTTTCAAAGTACAGAGCGTCTCCAGGGAATGCGGATACCAGAATGTCTAATTTGAATCTAATTGAGACTTTGGCCCATTCTTTTAGTTTCTAGGAAGAACAGGGGACAGGAGAACAAGTTAAATGCCACCACTAAGACGCAACTGGACAAATCTCAGTGTCCATAGGGAAAAAGAGATGTCATAATCTTAAATGTGCTGCATTCTTGAATCAATCATCTGAAAAAGACAGGACTAACTGGAGAAAGTGGAATATAGACTGATACAAAGGATTGGGGTGATGTGAAGGAATTTCACAGGCAATTAAAATAGCATGTAGTAATGTAGGGAATTGCACTTTTTTTTGTTTGTTTTGTTTTGGTTTTGAGATGAGGTCTTGCTGTGCAATTCAGGCTGGCCTCGAACTCACTAGATAGCTCAGGATGGCCTTGAACCTGTGTTGATCCTCCTGCCTCAGCCTCCTCAGTGCTGGGGATTACAGGCATATGCTGCCACTCCTGGCAACTCTTATTTTTAAAGAGATGTATGCTGAAATGTTTTGAGATTAAATGCCATGATTTCTGAAATTTACTTGGCCAAAAATTAAAATAAATGTGATATAATATTAATCCTTGTCACATCTGGAGATGATGACTATATTCTGTTCTTCAACTCATCTGTATATTTGAGTTTTTAAATTAAAAAATTATTATGTCACTTGCTACAAATTCCCTTTAAGCAGTTTTTTTTTTTTTTAAATGTAAATAGAACTTAAGGAGTGCCCACAGCACACAGGCATGCCATGATTTATGGAATGGGTGTGCAAATGCATGTGTGCTGGGAAGGCTTGGCTGGGGGTGGGGTGGGGAGCGGACCCATAGGTGGGGCTGAATCCCATAGATCATAAGGTTCCCATAGGGGTTTATGAGATATAGTGTCTAAGAAGACCATGCAGGCTGAGAATTAATCATATGGAACAATCTGGAGAGTTTTTTTCTGCCTGCTAATCTCCTGCCCTACCTGATATGCCTAAAATTGTATTAGAGAAACATTCCTTTTAGCCCTGAAGGCTTTTGAGTTCCTTACAAGTTAAATGCAAATGCCACAGGCGGGGCACATACCTGAAGGACTTCTCAGTGACCAGCTCAACCAGGGGTAGTGGTTATTTTGCTACCAATCACAGGGCTGCCGGGAGCAGGGCTGTTAGGTGCCAGCCTCTCTTGGGGATTGAGAGGTACCATGAACAAACTACAGTTTTCTGTTTGTTACCTGCCAGCTCCTAGCTCTGTAACTTCCTGAGCCTCACCAGCTTGAGGGAGCAGAGCGGTGCGGTGCAGTGCAGGGTGGCAGTGTGTGTGCTGCAGGGAGGTCTGATCCCCTCTGTACCTGAGAACTTCTCCATGATGGCGTTGAGCTCAGACTCGATCTCATGGTGCATGGAGTCGTTTGTCACAGCCAAAACCCACAGCAGCAGGTTTGTGGCCAGGGTAAGCATCAAGCCACACCTGGGGGGAGGGTCATGCTCTGTTCACCAGCCTGGCTGGCTCCCTGGGTGCCTGGTCCTCCCCCTTGACTGCTGTTGTGACCACTTGGTCCCAAAGCCAAATCCCATGTGGCATTAGGGGTTCAGGCAAGGATGCCCTAGAGGCCACCTGAGATGAATCCCAAACTAATCCAAAGCCCCAAGACACCCTGTGCAGAAGCGGTGGGGGTACTGAGGACCCCAGGAAGTTTTGGAAGGACAGGAGGCTTACCTAGTGAGGTTGGTCTGGACTTGAACACAGTCCTTACAATGCTTCCAGAGCATCCAGGTCTGAAAGAAACAGGGCCTTGAACCCAGGGGTTTAGGGGGACGTTGGACCCACGGTAACTGTTGCTTGTGCATTTACAGTGGAAGAGACAGTGATGGAGCCTGGGTTGGATCCTGGCTTCTCTATTTCTTTGCTGTGTGATATTGGGTGAGTGGCAAAATGTCTCAACTTAAGTGGTCTAAGCTCTGAAAAGGGGCCAAAATGCCCACTATTTGGGGAAATGTTTATTTGGTGGAGAAAATAAAGAAGGTCATGTAAATATAGCACCTGATATGGGTCTGGTGGGTAGCAAAAACCCGAGAGAGAATTGGTTATTATTATGAAGAGGAGGCTTGTGTATCTGGCAGATATATGTCTAGTGTATATTTAGATATGTGCCTGGGTGGATAAGCTTATAGGTACATGCATTTGGGAGTATGGTGTGTGGTGTGTGTTGATGCAGGTATACATAGGAGTGCGCAGATGTGGGTACACAGAGGTAAGCAATCATGTGAGGGGGCCCCAGTAGGTGTCTACACACTAGGGCACAGAGAGGTATTGCCGATGGCTGTTTGTGGCACAGATAGGGATGTGTGTGCATGTGGCCTGGGTGGGCAGAGCATGTCGCTGGTGGCATGAAGATGGCAGAGATCTGTCACCTGGAAGCCAATGAAGATGATCTCGATGGCCGGGAAGACAAGCTCCAGCTGTGACTTGCAGTGGCTGTGGCTCACGTCATAGCCGATGCGGAAGACGTTGAGGCAGATGGTGCAGCTGCCAAAGAGCACCAGGGAGCCTGGCCGGGCCAGGCAGGCATTGGCACCCCCCTTTGCCCCAGCTGTCCCTCCCGGCTCTCTCCCTCCATCCTGCACTACGGTACTCACCCCGAACCCAGACAGGTCCCGCGTGAGGGTCGCGATGGAGCACGGCGTGGGGCTGCCGTGCAGTGCCCACTGTGTAGTACAGGAGCCAGAGGAGGGACAGCATCTTCAGGGCAGCCAGCAGGATCCACACATCGCCCAGGGTGATGGACACATTGTTGAAGATCATGCTGCCAATGAAGGCTCCACCTAGGAACACCACATTGAGAGCAAGGAGCCCCGAGAAGAGCTGCCCGGCCTTCTGTGCCTGCTGGTCCCGCCGCAGCAGCAGGGACCAATGGTGTCCCAGCCAGGACTGCCACTGTGGTAGGCCTGGGTACCCTGTCTCCTTCGCCCTCGAGTCCAGTTGGTCCTCTTTGGCTGGAGCTGCTTCAGTCTCGTGGGCTTCCAGAGAGGCCATGGGTGGAGCCTCAGCAAGAGCTGGAAAGAGAAGACGGGCCTGAGGGTGGCTGCCAGCTGACCTGGGTTCTACTCTACCTTTGCCGCCAGCAGCTGAATAACCTAAGGTGGGTGATACGAGGTGTCAGCTGGGATGCTAGAAATTAAAGCAGCTGCCCATCTGCCTTACAGGCCTCAAGGAAGTTCACACCAGTGGAGGGATAGTGCAACCCTCTGCACTGCACACAGACCTAGGGAACTGACTCAACTGACTTCAGGACCATTTGACCTATTCCCACTCTCAGCTGGGTCTCCCTACTTGCTCAGGACCCAACTCCTAAACTCAAGGTGGGGCAATCAGGGAGTCAGGGACCTCTGCTAGTGCCTGGCAACTGGGACTTTGCATGAACAAAAGGCAGCTTGCACCCCACTGATTTCTGGGAAGAATTCCACTCCTGAAATTGGGGCGGTCAGGTTGGCATCATCTCCAACCCTAAATGGCAGGGTTATGCTTGCCTACAGTGTGTTGAGCAGGATTCTCAGACTGAGTTGGCTTGGTGGGGAAGGCTGCTGTAATTTCTATCATAGCTATGTAAAGGGTCTATAAAATTACTGCGTTTTGTACTGGGAATTAAGGTCAGGACCTTGTGCTTAGCAAGCAGGTGCTTATGCTGTTGACCTATATCCCTGGCCCTGTAAAACTACTTTTTGAAGGGTTTTCGAAGATACTGCTGGATCTACAATGGGATTTTCTTCAGGGAAAGAGGTGAGAAGGCTGAGCAGAGAGCAGTCGGTGTTCTTTAGGTTTAATGCTCCAGTCTTTTTAAAAACGGCCTTGTTTATGTAACTAGAATTAATTCTAAAGCATATTAAAAGCCAGAGAAAAGTTCTGGGATTAATTTGCAAGGTATATGAGACACATGGGGACCACTGCTGATGGGATGTTCTCCATCTTAACGGAGATGACTTCCATCATCCCCCACCCCAGAATGGTCTGCCATCATGGAGACTGTACCCTTGACCCCCTCCTTTCCCTCAGTGTTTCCTGCCACCTCCTCACCTTTCCCAACCTTTCACTCAGGCCAAGCACTCTAGCAGTATTTGCTTAGACTAGATCTGGGGTCACCCAACACCTGCAGCTCTGAGCACAGCACGCTGACTTGTCTGAGCCTCTTTGGCCATGCATCCTTCCTAGCAGAATTGAGCCACACTGGATATTGGGACTGATCTGCTGCTTCTGTGTGTCCCCTTGCAGAAGTTCCCTTGAGAATCCCTGCCACCCCAGGGCTCAGGGTTCCATGTGCTCACTGCCCATTCTCCAGGCAGAGAACCAGGCACCCTTCTCAATTTTCCCTTTATCCATTGCATTCCCTTAGGTCCAAACCTGTCCCCCCAGCTCCCAAACTGCTCTTAGATTGTTTTCAACCCCAGCCATAACCCTAGTCAGGGGTCCCCCCACTCTCCCCTGGACTGGACTCCCTGCCCACGATGCCTAACTGCCCCTGAGAGCTCTGCAGTGACAACCAGTTGCCTTCCATATACTAAGCCCAAAGCCCTTGCCGTGTGGCCTGTATGGCCTTTCAGAATGAAACAAGATGTACATATATGTAGGGGCCTGGTCCACATGGACTTGGGGCAGGGTGGCTGCTGCTGCTTTCTGGCCCAGCCTTGATTTAGCTCCCCAATGCAGTATCCAGGCCACACTCCCCTCCTTGAGGGTGCCATCCTTTTGCAGCTCCCCAAATGCCCTCCACTTTGGCTCAGCTACCTGCCTTTGCCCACAGCCCCACGTTTGACTGGAATGCCCACTCCTCCTGTCTCTTTGTGACTCTAGTGTGTCCTTCAGGACTCATTAGAGACAGCCAGGACTCAGCCAGACTTAGTGATCTCCCTTAACTCCCCTGCCCAGGCTGGATGAGGGTCCCCTCTCGGCCATCACCAACCCTCCACCATTGCTGGGTATCGCCCAGCAGGCTGCATCGTAATTGGCTATGCTTTGCTCTTTCTGTCCCTTGAGACCCCGAGCTTTGGACTTTTCCTCTCCTCAACTACCAGGAGCCCATTGTCACACTGGGCTCTTAATGTGCTCTCTGCATTCCTGTTCTTCCACACATATATCCTGAGTGATATCTGCACCTTCTGTTGTTCTCCTGGAACAAATGAGTACTAAACCTTGGGGTCTTTTTGATGTTTACAAATGATTTGCACCCCTTTCCCAGTTTACCCTGCCAGCCGGGGGCAAACTCCACCTTCTCATCCAGAATTCTCATCCACACTCTGGGAACCTGCCTCCCACCTCCATCCAGACCCAGGAGAAGGCCCCACATTTCCCCTGGGCCTCCCTCCTACTGCAGCTGTCACTTCCCTCCAATGACCCTTCAGCACCTGGCTACTCTGCTGGCCACTCCTCTCTGTTGGGAGTGGGTGTGTGCTGTGAGATCACTGTGGGTATGGCTGGATCCCCTCAAGGTCAGGAGCCCTTATAGGGCAGAGATCTGGTGCTGCTTAACTCGGAACCTCCCTCGCCCACACCTGCATCTAGCACAGGCGGGGCAGGGCGCTGGCGGTTTCCGGAGAAACTTTCAGCACCAGAGCAGTGGACAGAGACCCTACTAACCCTTCCGCCAGGGGCAGCCAAGGCTTTCCAAGCGACCTTTCAACTTTTCATTCCAGGCTCCCTTGCCCAGGTTGAGTAAGGCTGGGGCTCAAAGGGACACCTCCTCCTCCTCCTCTGCCAGCCTGGCAGCTCCACCTCGCCTTCCCCAGAACCTGGCCCTGCCCCACCTCCCAAACAGGCTACTCTAATGGTTACGAGGCCTGGCCCCAGCTTTCACTGTAGGACAGTACTTTTGTGGCAAGCTACTTAGACCCTCTGTGCGTGGTAAACAAACATGTGGCTATGGGATGGCAGCACAGGACCTAGTTCTAGGAGAGGCTTGGTGACTTCTTGAACAAATAAACGAAGGAATTAAGGCAGGACGCCTGTCTTACACAGTTTTGTCAGATTTATACAGTTTAACACATACAGCTGTGTAGCGCAGCCCACGTTGGCTAACTGCGTGTTTCTTCCCTACAGTTTTTGGGAGGTCCTGGAGAGGAGGGAAGGGTAGGGTTACTGGTGAACTTCGGGAACGATTTTTATCAGACTGCAGGCCTAGAGAGGACAGGGGAGCGAGGTTCCAGGTCCTCTCCTTTCTGAGTTTTCCGAGGGCTAGGGGAGAACGCCTGCCGCAGCTGAGGAGTCGGCCTCCCCAGCGCGCCTGCCGTGTGTCGCCAGCCCCACGCAGGGCCGGGACACAAACTGGTTTGTGGATCGAGGTTGGAGGCGGGCGATGAAAGCTGAGGAGCCGAGGAAAGTCGGGGTGCAGGGCGGGTCCGGGAGCCCAGAACCAGCGCGGGCGGAGTCTGCGAAGCTAGGCACAGCAGCTTCGAGGTTCCTTCCCGAGTTACCCGAGGGACTCCAGGACTGGACCGGGCGTCCAGGCAGCCCCGCCGCCTTCCCCTTTAACCACCCACCCCGGTTTCTCCCTTCTTTTCCTCCGGCTGCTGCGTGGATCGGGCCGGGACAGGGCGTGCCCTGCTCACCTCCGTGGGCTGCTCTGCGGGAAGGTGAGCTTAGCTTAGAGCTGGAGCTGGGAGGGGCGGAGAAGGGGCCAGGCCCCGACTGAGGGAGCTGACCTCTTGCTGGTCATCTGTTCTCAGGCGCCCCTAGTTCCTGAACCCCGCTTTGGAAGCAATGCGTGTGTGTGAGAGTGTCGGGTGGGCTCTCCGGTCCGAGGGCGCCCCGGGTCTGAGCGTCAGCGCTGGAAGCCTTACCTGAGGCCTGGGAGGCCATCGCCGCGGGCTGACCACCAACCGAGCGCAGCTCTGGCCTTGCGTCCAGCTGAGGCGCTGGCGCCCCCGACCGATGCCCCCGACGCCTTCCCCCCGCAGGACTGCGCAGCCGCCGCTCGGGCTCCACGACCCATCGATTTTTCTGTTGACTTTGGGAATCTCATTAATCCTTCGTTAATTACCCCGTGGGGACTCGGCCCAGAGCAGCCAATGGCGAGGTGGTTGCACAGGCGGGCGGGGCCGGAGGCGGTGCTAGCTCGGGTGCTGGTGCTGGAGGTGGCAGTGGTGGGGCTGGGGGACGCGTTCCTGAGTAGGTGGACAGGCCCTGAGCTGGCAGCCTGCCCTCGGGGTGGGTAGATTGGGCGTGCAATGTCCTGAGGCCCCGGGGGTTCAGGCTGCATTTTCTTCTGGCAGCCAAGCTGGGACCTTCCAAGTCTTGGGTCGTCTTTCTCGGACCTTATTACTAGGCTGGGGCGACCCAGAACCTAATGTCTGTCCCTTGAGTCAAACATGAACTTGGGGCTGAACATGAACTTGCCAAGATGGGAGGCAGTCAGCCCTCTCTGGCAGCCCTGTGCCCTCTGATCTCCACAGACCTCAGGCCACTGACAGGGTCTAGACACCTTTCCTCTCATATTCTCTGGGTTTAAAATGTTGCTATGCCCATCCTGTCCCCCCAGTGTGATCGCACCCGCTGCAGTCCACAGCCTGGTCCTGGCTGAACCCTTCCTCCCACTTGTTGTAGCTTGGCATGACTGATGCCATCTTGAGCCTGCATGTAACTAGTGTCCTGTATTTGACCCAGGAAAATGGAAAATTACTCAGAGTATAAGTCCCATGAGAAAAGCAGAATGAGCTGCACCCACAAGAGAAAAATTAACCTGCTTAACCAAAGAAGCAGGATACAAGTGTCAACCAAATATTAATATAAGATTCTAACTAAACTGTTTCCAACAGGATGTCTTTTTGTGGTTCTCTGTTTTAAAACTCTGTAACTTTCCAGTTCAGGGTCACTCAGTGGGTGAGCCTCTGAAATGGGTTCATGCAAGTGATTGCTGAGCTCAGCTAATTGAAATCCAAATTTATCAGTTTGGTTCCTATATTGCTTATGAACCCCTTCACCACTGACCACCAGCTCTTTCCTGACTGGCTATGATGCTTCTGTCCCAGTCTCTTGTCTTCCCCCCTGCAGGTCCATCTCTATGCCTTTGGCAGAGGGGAAGCCCTGAGGTGCAGCTCTGCCGGGACCCCCACAGGGATGGGTGGGTATTGAGAGGACTAGGGGTTTAGGATCTGAGTTCCCCAAACTGCGTTAGCGTCATCCTGTATCTGTATGTCATGGGTTCCCGAAATTCCTGAAATATTTTTTGGTGGAAAAAAATTCTGCCTCTTTAGTTAATGCACAAAGATGCAGCTGGACAGGAGGAATGGTCTCACAAGAGGGCGGCTCTGGTGGACAGCAGTTACCTGGATGTTTCAGCATGGTCAAGGGAGGATTTTGAATGCTCCCAACACAAAGAAATGATGGGTGGATAAGATGATAGATACGTCAATTACCCTAATCTGATCATGACACATTGTACCCATGGACTGGAATGCCACAATGTACTCTGTAACAATGTACAAACTACTATGTGTCAATTTTAAAACACAATATTAAAAAGCTCTGCTGCTTTTTTAAAAGTTTGAAGGCTGTTATGCTTATCAGAAGGCTCAGGTTCTCTGTGACTATGTGACTTTGTGCAAGGTACTTTACCCGTCTGGGCCTCCGACTCCTTCTTTATAAACTGTGAATGCTGGACAAGGTTGATCTTTCCTAACCTTTGTTACATCATGAGACACATCAAAATAAAAATGCACCATCATCGGGAGGTGTGCATCATCGGGAAGAAGGTGGCAGCTGGAGTACTTCATCAGTGTATCCCCCAGTCACCGAGTTACCCACTGTGTAGACCTAGCTTACCCATGGAAAATCATGAGGCCTGAAAATCTCAGGGCTTTTCCAGCCTTGATGGCCAAGTTCCTCTCCTTGACTATCTCAGATGGAATGCTAAGACAAGAAGAAGGGATGGGGGTGAATTGAGGTTTTATTGATTCCCAGTCCCAGAAAGCACACTGGGTTCAAGACAGAGCCAGAATCAGCACTTCCAGACCTTAGCAGGTCCTAGGAAAGCTTTGGGGGAAGATTTCCCTTCCCAAATCATCCTAGGCCCCAGAGTAATGCTGGGGGGAGGGGGGGCGGGACAGGGGCATATCCTGTTCTGATTTAAAAACTCATCTTGGAAAAATAAATTTTTGTGAAAAGTCTACTCTGGAGCCAGTGGACAATGGTGGTAAGATGTCACTATGTCGGCCAGTCAGGGGTTCAGCCCAGAGGGACACTGAGTGGATGCATGAGCCAAGCTGACCCTCATGCCCATGTCTCTGTCCAAGGCCTCAGGACAGCACGTAGACCTCCAGCAGGCTGGAGACGGCATGCATGCGGTAGAAAATGCCAAAAGGCAGGCAGACGTTCACGATGGCTGCCCAGAGGGAGTAGCCGTAGAAGTCCACCTCCACAGTGTTGCTGAAGTGGGGCCGGGCCCCAAAGGCAGGCATGATCCACAGCTGTGTGGGGAGAGGGGCACATTAGAAACCTGCCCGGAACAAACCTGTGGCTCTTTGCTGGTGCAGAACAGGAGGAGGACCCCAGCCTACTAGTTTGGAGCACACTGATGGTGGGGTGTCACTGAGTGGTCGCCTCCAATATCTGGCACAGAGACTAGAACTCTCTAAGGAGCACAGGAAGCAAGTCCAACTAAACTAACCACTCCTAGATTCAGGCTCCACCTGTGGTCATCTCTCCCTTCTTTTTTTTTGCACCTGTGAGATGGGAATCTCAACAAATGATATAAGAACTTGGTCCAAACAGTTGGATCTGCAGCTGGAAAGAATCAGTGAGGCACCAGGAAGAGGGTTCAGGGTCCAGCGAGAAGGTCACACCCCCCAGCTCTGCTCCTTTCTCTGCCCCTTTCTCAGCTCTAGGAGGAGGTGAGACTCGAATTCTGCCTCATCTTTGGCTGGGAACTCAAGTGCTCCAATTTGGGTGAGGAGCATGAAGAAAAGGGTGAAGGCTTCTGGGCCACCACCTGTCCTGCCTTAACTAACTACATCCCCAGTACATCGTAGACCCCCCCACCCCACCCCACCCGCACCCCACCCCAGCCCACTCTGTCCTGTGAAGTGAAGGAGGTGAAGGTGGTGTTGTTGCAGTGATTCACACTCACCTGTCTGGAGTAAGAACAGCCCTCCTGAACAGTGGCTCCCAGCCTGCAAGCTGGACCTGGTCAGGTTAGGGGGGCAGCGGCGCCCACCTCCCCCTTACCAAAGCCAGTGCCAGACATAATGCACACTGAGTCCTAGCACTTCCATTTGTAGGGTGAGACTGGTGACCACGCTTATTTTTGTTTAAAGGTGAAGCTGATTCCCCTGCAGGGGAATCACACCTTACCTGTGGGAGCCATGACCTCTACGGGACAGGCACTATTCACTGATGGTGTCTGATGGCTGTGGGTATATTTCATATAGTCAGGACTTCATGGGGTAGAATTCACACTGTGGATAGTATTCTATATTGGGCTGTACCCATGCACATATTTTTTTTTTTTTTGTGATGCTGGGAATTAAATCCAGGACTTCATGTATACTGGCAAATACTCTCTGATTGACTGAGCTACCCTCAGGTCACAGGATATGCTGCGTTAAAGATGTATTTCACCTAGGGATATTCTTTGACTGGGCGGTGCAGCCTAAAAGACTGTCGTTATGCTCAGGCCATTTGCATGAGAAGTTTGTTTGTTTGTTATTAGGGATGCCCAGTTGTTCCTCGGTACGCACAGGGAATTTGTTCCCGGACCCAGGATGTATACCAAAACCCAAGAATGTATAAGCAGTTTATATAAAGCTGCATAATCCTTGCATAGTAACCCATGTAATCCTCCTGCATGTTTTAAAAATTTAAATCATCTCTACGTATTGCACTCCTAATATATAGCACAGTGTAAATGCTATACAAATAACAGTTTCATTATATTTTTAAGGGAATGATAAGGAAAAAGTCTGTATGTTCAATACCAATAACATCTTTTTTTTTTTTTTTCTGACATTTTCCATCTAAGGTTTGGGTAAATCCTGGAGCATGCAGCCCACAGATACAGAGGGCTGACTACCCACGTGGCTATGTATTTCTATATCAGAGATTTCTGCACTGGAGATCATTTCTATGCTGGAGAATTTCTATATTTGTTGTAGCTATGCTAGGGATGTTTCCAAATTGCGGTGGACTTTCCATATGAGGGCTTCTGCCCGAGGTATTTCCACCAGAGAGTAGTATATTTGTACTGGGCGAGGTCTGTTGCTGTTAGTGTGGTCTCTGCTAAACCACTGAGGAAGGGGTGGCTGTCATCTGCACCCCACTTCCAGCCATCCTACAAACGCCCTCCATCAACAGAGCGCTCACACTCACACTGGTCTCCGTTACTTCCTGAAGCTGCTCTAATTATTCTGAAAAGCAGGCAGGTCACAAGTTCCCAGAAGGAGTCACACTCCCACTTAGCAGTGAAAGCCCCCACCTTTCCCCATAGCTCTCAGCTCCCTCCTGCCTCCACCCCACCTCCAGGCAGCCTTCCCTGGGACCTCTCCAGCTCCATCTGCCGCCTCTAGGCCAGAAGCTGGGATGTTACTCTCTCTGTGTGTCCCGAGATGCTGTTTGCCCAGGGCTCCAGCTGGCTCTCTCTGAACCCACTCCTCTCCTAGAGAGCTGCAAGTCTCCTGAGTGTCCCAGGGCAAGGTGGAGGAGGCCGGGGGACAGACCACAGGAGCACCCTCCCAACCTCCTCTTGCCCTGCTCACCCCCTCCCCAGGTACTCACAATGATGTTGCAAAGCAGCAGAAACAGAGAAATGTCTTTTAGGCACCTGCGTCTCCAGTGGTCCCTGGGTGCCAAGATGACGGTCACTGCTGCCTGAGGGTCTGCTGGGCTGGGGGTGACCAGCCTGGGTGTGGGCGGGCAGGCTGGCAAGGTGTGGAGGGCATCCAGGTTGTCAAAGGTAAGACCTTGGCAGGGCTCTTTGGGAGGAGACTCTTGAGGCACCTCGCCGGGTGGTCCCCGGTGGAGGCTCTCGATGATGAACACATTCTGGAAGGTGTGCTGGGCGATCATGAGCAGCGCGTGGGCCAGGTTGAGCGCCCCCAGTAGATCTCTGGGCGTGCCCACCACTACAGCCACAATGGAGTAGTAGGAGATGGCATACTGGCCCAGGGCGGCGCCCATCAGCAGGGCCACGTCCAGGGTACGTGTGGGATTCTTATGGTGGTCCATGGCCCGGCGGTCGAAACGGTAGATGACTGAGCCACTCAGGCTGACCAAGGTCATGAGCCCCAAGCAGACGATGTTGAAACTGTAGTAGGTGACCAGGGCTTGCTGGGTGCGGCCCCCCTCTTCGCTCACTTGGACTTCATAGAAGATGAAGACTGCCAAACCCACCACAAACAGGATTAGGCCCAGGATAGGGCCGGCAAAATAGGTCTCCCGGAAGAGGCTGGCTCGGGACACCGTGTGGCTGTGGCCATGGGTGGCAGCCAGTAGCCGGCCCACGTTTTTCCACATGACATAGAGCATGGTGGAAGCGAAGAGGCTGTACTCAATGTTGAAAGGATACAGGTAGAAGTAGCCCTGTTGGAAAATCTGGCAGACGGCCGTGTCACAGGAGCAGGCATCTCCGCTGGAGCTGCTCACACGCTCAGCTGCAAAGAGAGGGACGCAGGGCTAGCCCGCCCTCCTGAGCTAGCCTGTGCCCTTTGTAAGGGTGGGTCTCTCTGCCTGTCACCCAAAGGCCTTCACAGGGGTGGCATCTTCATTCATTCTACAAATAGTTATTGAACACCTACTATGTGTCTGAGACTATGAGAAACATCAATGCTCAATTAAAAACGCAATCAAAAAGAAAAACAAAATGGGATCACAGAACTGCCCAGTTCACCCACTTTCATTCCTTGAGTTCCTCCCCATTCCTAATGACATCTGGCTCCCCAAGATGGACGTGCTCTGGTCCTCTTTGAAGATGGCTCTCTTGGGATCCCCTAAAGTTCAGTCTTCCACGGAGCCTTTCCTGGTATCTGATTCTGTCCATACTTGGCTACCAAAAGTACTCTTGACTCAAATCCAGACTGTGCTTTGCTGGATGCCATGGGCCCTGGTTAATATCTCCTTTGACTCTATCCCAGATGGGTTTGCAGATGAGGAAGCTGAGGTTCAGTGAGGTTCAGTGGCTTGGAATGGGAGAGCTAAAGCAAACGATTTGACTTCCAACCCCAAAGCAGGGCCTCCAGCAGTGTGCCTCTCCGTCTGTGACCTGGGATGCTTTTAACCCCCTCAAGGTCCTCTAATATACAAGGTGGCCCTTTACCAGTCCTCCCTGGCCGAGTGCCCGTGCCAGCTGGGGACACACTTTCTGTGTTTGCAGACACATGCAGGCGCCTCTAGCCTGGTCCCGGTGGTGATGGTGGGAGGGGACAGTTAGGGCAGTCAAGGGAACTGCGACCTGGGGCTGTAGGCCCTGTTATTCCTGTGGGGTTCCCTGGTCAAAGGCAAAGGTGGTCCTCCCACTTCTGGCTCTGTGACCTTGAGTAATTAAGCTCTCTATGCCTTTGTGTCTGCATTTCTAGCATGGGCCCACTGACAGAACCCATTTCAAAGGGGAGTTGTGAGGGCTAAATAAGACCCTAAGCACTGTGGGGGACACAGAGAGCTTGGTAAATTGCCACGATTGTCATTGCGATGAGATGATTATGTCTAGCCTTCATTTCCTTCCCGATCCCTCCTCTGAGCCCAGACTTCTACTTGGAAGCCAGCCTGCCTCACTCCCCGCTGTCCCCTGCCCTTCCTTCCAGGGCCTCAGGTTCCTTCTGCTGGATGGAAACTTGGGCGGTGGCTGAGTCCTAAGGGTGCCCCCACTCTCCCCTCTCCTGTCCCTTCCACCCATACTTCTGAAGCAGAGCCTGGAGTGGGAGGGAGCCCCTAGCTTCCGCCTTTGCCTCTGAGCCCTTGTGACGGCACGGTTGACTAACTAGAAATCTGCAAAGCACCCAGTCCAAAGCCTGACAGCCTCAGCTTTGGGGCTAAGGGGGAACTCACGGTCAGGGAGGAGGCGGGTGTGGCTGGCATTGCTGTGGGCACTCCCCTGGTGCACGGATTCATCCACCACCGCCGCCATCCAGATGGCCAGATTGGTGGTGAGTGTGAACATGAGTCCACACCTGTTTGTGGGTTGAAGGAAGTAAAGAGGCCCATGAATCTTTGGTTGAGAGGGGTTAGGGTTGGGGGAGCTCTCCCGAGAGGCCAGGTTGAGAAGGGAAAAGTAAGCCAGGCCCTTGAGTTTATAAAAGCCAAGATGCCACAAGAGAGGACAGGGTGGAAGCTCAGGTTTCCAGAGGCTCAGGCCCAGCTCCCGCCCCCTACCATGCATGCACACACATGGGGAAGGGCGAGGACACAGCCTGTAAAATCAGGCTGATAAACTGGGGACCCTGGCTGAAACCCCACCCAGGAGGCAGAGAGAGGGGCCACGCTTGGCCTGACAGCCCTCATGTCCCGTACCAGGCAACAGGCTAGGCATGGACATTGAGCTGTGGTTCTTACCGGGTCAGATCCAGATGCACATGAACACAATCTTTAGCGGAGACCCAGAGAAAGTAAGTCTGTGTCAGGACAGGGAGGGAGGGAGGAGAGTCAGTTTCCTGTGACTGGGCTATAACTCCAGGGAGCCCATGTCTGCACCCAGGTTATGGTGTCTCCATCGTGGTGAACCTTATCCTCGATCTAGATCGAGTTCATTTTAGCTTTACAAAAGGAGACCAGGGCCATTTTCTGCTTCTACTCCAGGGCACAGTTTGTACAAAAATAGTGATTCTCAGTTCTTTAAAGGTTCATAAGCTGTCAGCTGTAAAACTCTGGTTTGGGGGAGGGTAATGGAGGGACTGTAGCCCTCTGGCCACCTGTTGTTTATTCCTGGGAACAGGCCAGCCTCACACTAGGTCTTTATCTGGGAAGAAGAGGTCTCTGCCTCCGCTTCTCACTGTCTCCCTGCCCATTCCCTTCCTTTGTTCCCTGAAAGGTCTTGTCCTCATGTGGCCACCTGAATGGCTGTTAGGTCGTTTCTTGATGGGGGGGTATCTGTGTTTTCCTTTTACCTGATTATTCTTCAAACTTAAAAAATGTAAAAAGCTGAAACTGTATGAGTGCCAACATCACATGCGTGTCAAAGTGTGGACACCCAGGCAAGAGAGGGATGCTTCAGGGGGAGGACAAAAGCCTTGTGGTCATTTGGTCATACTACAGGGCTTCAGTCTATTAGGGTCTCCTGTGAAACCAGTCTTGCCTCAGCTTTGTAAGACTTTTCAAAGTAGTCTTTATGCAATAGATTATAAAAGAAATTGAACTTATTTAGAAAATCTCAGTGCACAGGCTATGCCCCCCCCCCCGACTAAATATAGGAGCCATGCTGATGCCAGAGTGCCCATGTTCCCAGGATGATCTGGGCTGACTGGTGCCCTCAAGGGCCCCCAAGAAGAACAGACCAAGTTCTAGCTGGCAGAGCCAACTGTCTCAACTCACACTTCCCAGGTGTTAAGTATAGGCACTGCTTAGGATGCAGGAAAATCTCAGTGTCCCTGAGTAGGAGTATCGCATTTAGATATTACTTCATTACCCAGCAGTCCATCGTGTGTCCTCATGTATAGACACGGATGACCTCTACTTCCATCCTTTAATTGTTCAAGGAAGAAGGAGAGCTCAGGTCTCTGACCCCTTGCCAAACACTGGCTCCTTTCTGCCACACTTGGGAACATCCCTCCTACCCACCTGGACAATGACAAACACAGCCTGGATGAGGGGGTGCAGGATCTTGATGGCTGACTGGCACTCAAGGAAGCTGGAGTAGTAGCCGGTCTTGAAGACATCCATGACGAGACTGCAGATTCCAAACAGCACCAGCCCACCTGGGGTTGGGGGTCAGAGAGGCAGGAGAGAAGACTTGCAGCATGCAACATGGGCTCCAAGGTGGGCGGTGTCACGGGAGGCTGGATAGCTGGAGGACTGGATGGATGGGGAGGGCGGGGAGATGGATGGTGGGAGAGTGGGTGGATGAATGGGAAGGTGGCTGGATGGATGAATGGGCACACGGGCAAAGGGAGAGTCTGAAAGATGGATGGGTGATGGCAGGATGGTGGCTGGGCGGTTGGCTGCCTTCTTACACTTCCGTGTACAGGCTCCCTAGACAAGAGGAAGGGCCCTACACAGACTTTTCAGCTCTGTCTTCTGGGCGCTGTCTCCATCAAGGGCTTCCGTTCCCTTTAGTCCCTCTCTTCAGTGCTGTTTACAAGGCACAGAAGCACCCCTCTCACGCCATCCCAGTCCGACCTTCCGTTCATCTCATGCCTTCCAGCGCCCCCTTTTCCTCCCCCTCCTCCTCCTCCACAGCAGCCCGTCACACCCAGCTCTCCCAGGGAGCTCCTTGCTCTCTCCGCAGCCCTCCCAAAGCCCCAGTCCAGCGCTCCCCTAAGCACCTCGGAGCCAGATGGGTCCCGCGTGTGCGTCCCGGTAGGGCACTGCGCCCGGGCGGCGCGCGGTGCGCAGGAGGTAGAAGAGAATCCACAGCGCGGCCAGCAGCATCATGGTGGTGAGCAGCGCGAACACGTCCGTGTCGTACACGGCCACCTTGTTGAAGGCGCCTCCGCTGACGAGCGTGCTGGCCAGCAGCAGCACGTTGACGGACAGCAGCACCGACAGCAGCCGGCCGCCCTTCTTCCACACCTCGCGCGGGGCTGCCCGCGCCGCCGGCGCGCTCTCCTTGGGGCCGGACCCCGGCGCCTCCAGCATGGTGGGGACGATTTCAGGAGGCCTGAAGGGGAGTCACTGCGGAAGCGGAGCGGGACGGAGCGCAGCTCAACCCGAGGGCCTCCTGTCCCCATCGCAAGTCTAGATTCGGGGTCAGGCCGTTCCTAACCCCAGCCCTAACCCACTCCCCAAATGCCCCCGTCCGCCTGCCCTGGACACGCACCTGAGTGGCCTGGGAGCTCGCGCAGAGTTGGAGTTCAGGGGGCGGCGGGCGTCTCCTCTCTCCCACACCGGGCTGGACGGGCGCTTTATATCCGAGCGCACCGAGTGATTTACAGCCGCGGGAGCTCGGCTCCATAAACCTCTCAGGCCCACTCACATGATCCATCTTTCCTCCGGGCTGCATTGGGGAAGTGCGCGCGGGAGTCAGATAAAGCGAGATTTATATTTATCTCTTAGGGACACCCCCCCCCCCAGCCCCACCACCCCTGCAGGCCGGTTCGGACGGGTGCGGCCCCGCAGTGCGGCAGCTGGAGGGCACCCCACTGCCCCCAGCATCCCGGGAGATCCGGGGCGCAGGATCGCCCCCGCCCCGAGCCCCCAGACTCTCAGGAGCCGCCAGCGCCCGCCTCATCCTACACTCGGTGAGGCCGGTTGCCACCCCGAGATCGTGACACCAGCCTCCCCTTCCCTACCTGCCCTCAGAGTGCTCGAGTCTCTCCTTCTGTCCCTAACGCGCGTCTCCTCTGCTAGACGCCTCGAAGTGCGCGGTGCGGGGAAGTTCCCACGCCGCGCGCGCAGCTCCGCGCCGGTCCTCCAGCGCCCCCTTCTGGAGAGCGTCGGGGCCCGGTGTCGGCCGCGGCATCCTACTCAAGGACGTCGCGGGTGGGTCTTCACGCTTGTTTAGGGGACTGTCCTGGGGTTCAAGACCGGCTTTCCACTCTGCCCTCAAACAACCCTCTCCAGCCCCTGGCCCTCTTGATTGCTTTCTTCTCTCTCTGTCTGTCTGTCTCCCTCTCTCTTTCTTTTTTGAAAAGAAAGTGTCTCACTATGTAGCCCCACGATCCTCCTGCCTCAGCCTCCCAAGTGCTGGGGTTACAGACGTGTGCCGCCATGCCCAGTGTGGCCTGTTGTTTTGACAGATGGGGAAATCGGGACCCTCAGCAACGGAACTGTAGTGACGGTAGACTAGCTGATATCAAGACTGCTTTTCATGGAGTAGGGGAGAGCTAGGGTGTGCATTTTTGAAATTTTTTTTTTGGCACCAGGAATCGAACTCAGGGCCTCGCGCTTGCCAGACAGGCGCCTATACCACGGAGCTATATCCCTGGCAGGGTGTGCATTTTTGGAGAGCGAGAAGGACCTCTCTGGATCACCCCCTCTAACTCTGTCCCTGTGGGCCCTGGGAGGCAGGGTGTTTAGGACCTAGGGGAAGCCTGGGGGCGGCCCCTGGGCGGCGGGAGACTCCCCCTCCCCCTCCCTTGCCACCCTCCCGGGCCAGCGGCTCAGATGTCCTTGTAGCCGCTCTGGCCCTCCGCACCCTCCATCTGCGGCAGCGGGGGGCTTGCGGCCCCGGCCCCTGCCCGGCCCCCGCTCCCAGCCCCATGCCTCAGCCTTAAGCCTGCTGCCCTCCCCCGCGGGGGGCTTTCCCTGCGCCCCCTTGGCCGCCCCGTCCGAGTCGGGCGCCATGAACGATCAGTACCACCGGGCCGCCCGGGATGGCTACCTGGAGCTCCTCAAGGAGGCCACGCGGAGGGAGCTGAATGCCCCCGACGAGGATGGCATGACCCCCACGCTCTGGGCTGCCTACCATGGTAACCTGGAGTCGCTGCGCCTCATCGTGAGCCGCGGGTGAGTCCCTCTACTCCGCCAGCAGGGCAGGGGGAGGACCCTGGGGTGCCGGGCCCTGCAACACCTCCCCAGACCCCGGGCATCCTTACCCCCTCTCGGAGCTGCCCTCTTCCCCGGGAACAGACTCTGGGGTGGGAGCTGGGCGTTTGTCGGGTAGACACACGTGGATGGGAACCTAAGCGGAGGCATGTGACACTCATGACCTGGATGTGGGGTGAGGAGGGGAGAAGCCGGGATTTGAGGGTCCTCGACCGACCGCTGGGACAGGTGCTTCAGAGTGAGGGGAAGGTGGGAGACCCCTTCTGGGTGAGAGTGTCTGGAAGCGAGGTGAGGGGGAAAGTGGGACCCACAGGTAAGGTCGAGAAGCCTCAGAGAGCCCAGAAGTGGGGGCTAGGAAAAAGGAGGCGCCCCTTCTTGCTCCCCAGTCTGATAGCCCAACGCTCACAGCCCCCACAGGCTGAGTCTCACACTATTCTCCTCTCCTGCCCCTCCCTGGGATTTATGGGCTTTGTCCACCACACCAAATGTCACCGGCTTTGCCGCCCTGTTATCTCTCTCTGTGCCCCTCCCCACAGCTGACCCATGGCACGGATGGTGGGATGGTGATGTGGTGGGCTGGTGATGTGCTTGCCTTTGAAGGGATTTCTGTCCCCCACCCACCCTCTGGAGTCATCCTCCCCGGCAGTGGGCACAGAGTGCAGGTGTCAGAATCTGAGAAGGGGTTTGCTGGTGGTGGTTGAGGAATGCAGGGCTCAGGGCCACTGAATTGGGTGAGGGTGATATAAACCACACACTGGGAATGACCCTGATGCCCATGGGAGTCTCATAAAGAGTTCCTCTTTGACGTGCTAACCCCTAAGTCCTGCAGAAGCGAGAATTCGGTGCTCTGTGGTTGTGGGTCTGAGGCAGGGTGGCTCCTCCCCACCCTGCCTTGCTGGACTTGGCCACCGGCAGGGGAAGCTGAGCAGGGGGTGTGTGGGGGAGGCGTGGAGACAAGGGAGTGATTCTTCCTCCAGGCGGTGGTGGCCTCCCGGCCTCATTAGTGTCAGGCCGGGTCCCTGTGCTGGGTGCCAGCGCTCTGGAGGGGTGGTGAGAGCTGCCCCAGGGGGCATCCTCGGGCTTAGGGGAGACAGACAGCCCTATAGGAACCTCAAAGATGGGGCAGCCTGAGCAAGGGAGGGCAGCCCAGCCAGGCCTCGACCTTCCTGCCTCACCCTCAGGTCCTGGCTGCCCCCGCAGTCCCCTCCTGGCCCAGGCCAAGACCCGACACCTGCTCTAACACTGGCGTTGCCAGGCCTGGCCGAGCTCCCCGCAGACATGGCCCCAGCCACACACCGGCACCGGTGCGCCTTCACCCAGGCCTAGGCCCAGCACACACCACCCTCTGGACCTCTTTCATGATCACCCTGCAACACGTGGCTACACTCACCGCACCTGCCTAGAGACCCAGACTCGGCCCCGGCCCACCACCTCTCTGGGCCAGTTCCCCGCTGGGCCCATGAATAATTCACTCGGTTCTCTCTGAGCATCAAATATTTATCCCCTGAGATTCCCAGCCCGCGGCTATCTTGGGGGAAGGCCCCGCCCCGCGCGCCCCGCCCCCTCCGTCGCCCCGCCCCGCCCCCGTCGCCCCGCCCCCAGGTGCTGGGCTGCTTTTTCCTGCGCTCGCTGAATCCCAGAGTTTGACTGGTGGCTCAGATGGCCAGAGATCCTGGTCAGAGGAGCGATCTCAGTTCCAGAGAGTCCTCTGGGCCCAGTGTGTCCATGGAGAAGCTTGACAAGGGGGGGGGGGAGCCCCCACCCTTCCTCCCATCACCTGCCACGGCTGGCGGTTTGTTTGAACTAGGATCGCTCATTATTCCTCCCCACGCGCTCTCCCTGCAGGGGTGACCCGGACAAGTGCGACATCTGGGGCAACACGCCCTTGCATCTGGCAGCCGCCAATGGCCATTTGCACTGCCTGTCCTTCCTGGTGTCCTTCGGGGCCAACATCTGGTGCCTGGACAACGACTACCACACGCCGCTGGACATGGCCGCCATGAAGGGCCACATGGAGTGCGTGCGCTACCTGGACTCCATCGCGGCCAAGCAGAGCAGCCTCAGCCCCAAGCTGGTGGGCAAGCTGAAGGACAAGGCCTTCCGCGAGGCGGAGCGGCGCATCCGCGAGTGCGCCAAGATGCAGCGCAAGCACCACGAGCGCATGGAGCGGCGCTACCGGCGCGAGCTGGCGGAGCGCTCGGACACACTCAGCTTCTCTAGCCTCACGTCCAGCACCCTGAGCCGCCGGCTGCATCACCTGGCGCTGGGCAGCCAGCTCCCCTACTCGCAAGCCACGCTGCACAGCACCGCCAGGGGCAAGACCAAGATCCAGAAGAAACTGGAGCGTCGCAAGCAGGGCGGCGGCGAGGGGACCTTCAAGGTCTCAGAGGACGGGCGCAAGAGCGTGCGCTCGCTCTCCGGCTTGCAGCTGGGCAGCGACGTGATGTTCGTGCGCCCAGGCACCTACGCCAACCCCAAGGAGTGGGGCCGTGCCCCGCTCCGGGACATGTTCCTCTCGGACGAGGACAGCGTCTCTCGTGCCACGCTGGCGGCCGAGCCTGCCCACTCGGAGGTCAGCACAGACTCAGGACATGACTCCCTGTTTACCCGCCCTGGCCTGGGCACCATGGTGTTCCGCAGGAACTACTTAAGCAGTGGCCTGCACGGGCTGGGCCGCGAGGATGGGGGCCTGGATGGGACGGGCACGCCACGGGGTCGGCTGCAGAGCTCCCCCAGCCTGGACGATGACAGCCTGGGCAGTGCCAACAGCCTGCAGGACCGCAGCTGCGGGGAGGAGCTGCCCTGGGATGAGCTGGACTTGGGCCTGGATGAGGACCTGGAGCCCGAGACGAGCCCGCTGGAGACCTTCCTGGCCTCCCTGCACATGGAGGACTTTGCCTCCCTTCTGCGGCAGGAGAAGATTGACCTGGAGGCGCTGATGCTGTGCTCAGACCTGGATCTCCGCAGCATCAGCGTCCCGCTGGGGCCGCGCAAGAAGATCCTGGGGGCCGTGCGGAGGCGGAGGCAGGCTCTGGAGCGGCCGCCTGCCCTGGAGGACACAGAGCTGTGAGTGCCAGTCTGGGGATGGATGGATGGTTAGAAGGGCCCTGGGAAGAGGAGGACCCGCCTTTTCGGGAGTGGGAGGGGCGTGGCACCATATTTCATAAAACCCGAGTTAATTACAAGGAGCCTCACTGTTTTATTTATCAGCTGCTTTGCAAGAAGCCGCCAGTTTAACAATGATGGGAGGCTATTTATTTATTTTTGCAGTACTGAGGATTGAGTCCTACTGAGCTACGCCTTCAACCCCTTTTCTTATGTCTTATTCTGAGACGGGGTCTTAGTAGGTTACCCAGGCTGGGTGCAAAGTTTCAGCTCTCTCCCTTAGCCTCCCAGAGTGTTGAGATTACAGGTGTGCACCCTCTGACCTGGCTGACCGGAGGATTTTAAAATCACAGTGATGTAAAATATGCCTCCATTCTACAAATACCAAAACATGGGGAAAGGATGGTTTTTTAGGGTCAGTGAAATACGGTAGCCTGAGTAAACTTAGGATGTTTTTGAGCCCTTTCACCTTCCAGGTCCCCAAGCAAGCACTGCTCCCCGGGGTCACATCCATTACACAGCGGATGAGGAAGGGAGGCTGGAGGAGGTAGATAGGTCACCTCATACCTCGCCACTGCTCAGGGTGGAGTGGGGCTTGATCCCTGGTCTGTGTGGCTCTAGAAGGCCATTCCCTGTCTGTTCCTATGAGATGGAGGAGGTGGCAATCGGTAGATCTCAACTGCACAGCTCCACAAGGCAGGCATCTTCCCTGAACGCTTACAGTGGAGCCTGCAGCAACTTTGGGAACAGAGTTGTTGGGTTTAAAAAGTCATCACAAGCTGGGCATGGTGGCATAGGCACATCTGTAATCCCGGAATATTGGGCAGCTAAGGGTGGATCACAAATTCAAGCCCAGCCTGAGCAACTGAGTGACTTAGTGAGGCCCTGTCTAAAAATGAAAAATAAAAAGGGCTGGAGATGCACTTGCCTCAAGGTGAAGAGCCTGGGCTCAATCCCTGGTCCTGGGGTCGCTGCCCAGGGCTGCTGCTATCCTGGCCTTCCTGTTGGAGGTCCCTAGCCCGCCCCTCTCCCACCATGTCCCACAAGCCCACCCCAACTCTTGGTATCTGTGGCCTTCGCTTTGCACAGGTGGGGCAGGCAGAAGTGGAGGTAGGGAGGCCATCTGATTTACAGTTTAGGAAAGGGGAACCTGTGTCCCCCATTCCTGACATCGGCCTGCCCAAGGAGGGGCTGCTCAGTCATCAAAGTGGCTGGTCTTGGTGGACAGTGATGCCTCTGAGGCTGTATTCTAAGGCCTGCTTCTGTCTGTCTCCTCCTCCACAGATAACCTCGGTTCCTCTCATGAGACCAAAGTTAACTGCAAGTTGCCACAACCTGTGATCGGCCAGCACGGTCCCCACAGTCGCCAGCCCTCCCGCCCTCTTTCCAGGAGCAAAGACCTCAGCCTGCCCACACCCAGAGCAGAAAGTGTGGCCTGGAGCACCCAGATGGGCACCAGAGCATCCAGAGCACCAGCTCTCAGGACTCCTGCAGCCTCGGGCCCCCCATCCGAGTGGCTCTGAAGCATGCGTAGATTTGGTTCACACCAGAGACTAGGTGACATCACCTGGGAAGAAGCGCCGGTGGGCCACAGCCTGTCTCTGGTGCATGGTCTCTCTGGTCCTCCTTCCTGCCCCGCGTTGGAGGGGACTATCCTCTCAGGCTAGACTCGCTTGCTTCTCCCTTTCCCGTGAAGGGAAGAGTTTGGGCTGCTTCCCCTCCCATAAATCCCAGAGGGGAGGTTTCCCGCCAACTCTTCAGCCAAATGTCCTGCTTTTCAGTCCCTACCCCACCCCCACACATGAGAACGCCACCGGCCATGGCCAGAGCTGGAGGGCCAGGCTGGATCCGCTGCAGCCTGTCCTCCTCCAGTACCCCCACCTCTGCTGTGCAGCCTGGCCCCTCTAGGGACCCACGGTGCTAGGGCTGCAGACCACAGTGTTATGGTCCCCAGGTCTGGTGGACACAGCTCTCTGGAGAATGGCATCTGCCAGCTGCCTCAGACTCTCCAGGCCCTGACAGGCAGCTGGGCATAGCTGGGGGTTGAGTGTGGGCAGATTCTGTGAGAAGGAGGCTGAGGATGTGCCCAGGGGCCGTGTGTGTGTGTGTGTGTGTGTGTGTGTGTGTGTGTGTGTGTGCATGTGCGTGTGTGTGCATGCATATGTGCTCAAGTGTGTGTTTCGAGGGCTGGCCAGTGGCTTTCCTTTGAGGCTGGAAGGGCTGGGTCACTGTGTGATTTTTATGGGTGGTGGGAAGCAGGGAAGAGCTCACTGTGTGTCCCCGCTCTGTGTGGAAATGAGACTTGGTGAGGCCCAGCCCAGTGGTGAGGCCCAGCCAAGCCCAACAGGTCCTCAGCCTGTGTCCTCAGGGCTTTCCCACCAGACCAAGCTCACAGAGATGGGACAGTCACTCAGGACCCTGTGTGTGTGCACATCCATACCCACACAGGTGTTAACAGTGCCCCCCATCTCTTACCCCAGCTTGCTGGGAGATGGCCACTGCTCCCAGGTCCTCCCTGGGGCCCTTTGGCTGGAGTTCGGAAAGAGCCCCCCAAAGACCTCATTGGTCTACTAAAGTGGGGAGCCCATCTGTGTGTTTGCCCGGAGCCAGGGGTGTGAAAGAGAGGGTCCCTCTCCCACTACAGGACATCGAAGGCTCACTGCCTGCAGCCCACCCCTTCTCCTGGCCTCTGGGCCACCCCAAGTGCCGACTTTCGTTTCTGCAAGCCCCGGATGCTGCTGCTCTCCCTCCACACCCACTTCTCAATGTGTGGAGGGGCGAGGCTCTGAATCCCACCATACCCCAGCCTCACCCTGAGGCTCATTACAACTTTTGCAGAGAAAGTTCTATATCATTGTCATGCTTGTGTCCTGTTCTTCAGTCATGTGTGGGTGGGAGGGGGGTGGGATGAAGTCTGAAAGGGCGAGAGGGGACAGGGTCTTCTGTGGGCCTGTGAAGACCAGGTCCCATTCCTGGGAGGGGTCCTCCAGCCCCCACCCTCTACGTAGCTGCGTGGTTCCCCTCCAGCGCTCTCGGGCCTTTGCCCTGCTAGGCCTAGAACAAGGAACTGCTGGACAGAGAAGGTGAAGAATTGGGCCAGGACACTCCCCAGCTGCTGAGCAAGGAACATGGTCCAGGCTTCAGGTGTGGCTCCAGGACCTGCTGTGGCTGAGGGCAAGATGGTGCCATCTGTTTCCACTAGAATAGCCTGGGTTTTTCTAGAGATGGACAGGAGCTCTTACCCAGGAGGCTGCTGCCTGTTCACCCAGGCTCTAGGCCCTGTCACTCCTGGGAAGCCCCTCTTTATTTCCCTCCCTACCCTGTGTATCTCTGGGGTGCCTAACTTTTAAAATTATTTTTGAGGCACTGTGAACTTAGGGCCTTTGCACTGATCAGCATCCCCGATCCTTTTTTTTTTTTTTCCTGTCTTTTGCTAAGTTGCCCTGTCTGGGGTCAGACCATTAGGGGGCGCAGTCAACCCAGCCAGTTGTCAGGGAATGGATTGCTGGCCAAGGGTGGATCCTCATGCAGTTCAGGAAGGCCCTCTCTGGGGTGGAACTAGTGATCGTCTTGCCTCACCTCTCAGAGTGCTGGCTTGGTAGGTGTATGCCACTATCTCTGACAGGATGCCTGACGTAGAGCCTCTCTTTCTCCCAGGGGTCTGTTTCCCTGTAAGTGGGTAGATGGTGACCTGTGCCTTCTCAGTTAAGTCTGGAGGCATCCATTCCCTAAGGAGCCTTCTACCAAGGGGAGCCCAAGACAGTCCCCTTCCACTGACACCCCTATGGAGTGTCAGTGCTGGAAGGTTGCCTAGCAACTGTCCAGGGGTTCGTTGTCACCTCCCTGTACTTTACAGAGGGAAACACTGAGGCCCACAGAGGGGAATAGTCCGACCTGAACACAGGCTCCCAGACTGCTGTTGCCCATCCCTTACACCCAGGCCACCAAGGGAGCCAAATCACGATTTACCTACCCATGTCCATGGGCCTGCAGCCCCTGCTGGCCATCCCAGTCACTTGCACCTACCTTCTGAAAGGCCTGCCTGTCCTAGCCAAGACTGTTCAGGGGAGGATGTGGGGGAAGGAAGACTCGAGAGAACAAGACAGTGCAGGTGTAGCTTCCACATCCAGACAGAGGTCAGCCGGAAGCAGTGGTGTCAGGGACCTTTGTGTGAGTACCTGGGGGACTTGACACACAAGTGAAAGATTTTACACTCACCTTTCTTGACTCATTTCCCTAAAAATCTACATCAAGTTTAGAGAAGTGCTAAAGGTTTACCAAAAAAAAAAAAAAAAAAAAATCAATAGTTCTTAGCACTTCGAGATTTGAATCAGGGAATAATATGCATGCTTGTCCTGAAAAGGACACAGAGTACACACACACACTCACGCACACTTATGCACAATTTACCAATAACTCCCGTAAGTTTATGGACACAGAGCCTCAAGAGGTCCTGAGACCCCAAGTTGAGAACTTTGGTTAGACTGCTGCAAAGTTAATTCATCAGAAATGAGTCTACCAGTTTGACGGAGATGTGGCTGGTGGTGGAATGAATCACAGGCAGGAAAAGCCTCCATCGCATGAGACCCAACCCTCTCCTTTTACAGATGAGCTAACTGGAGCCCAGAGAGAAGGCGCTGGCCAAAGGTCACAGAGTAGCATCTACATGGGTAGATGGAACTAGGTCTCCAGGTGCTGTATGTGGGTCCCCCAGGCTCTGGTTCGAAGCCCCAGACAGCACAGCACCGCTGACCCCACGGCGAGTGCTCTTGTCTGGAGTAGGTCCAGGTGGGAGGGGGTGGCAGAACCCAGGGCAGGTCTAGATGGCAAATCTGGCCTGTCCCTTCCATCTGCGGCCTCAGTGAGTTACTCACCTCTCTGAGCCTGCTTTCTCATATATAAAACCAGTGAGTGTAATAACAGTGTGAACCATAGGTTATTAGAAGGGTGGGATGGTAATGCTCACAAAGCACTCTGCACACACCTGATATTTAGTGCACATCAGTTACTAATGATCATGGTTATTGCTAGTCTGAGAATGGCCCTGAGGAGGTCCTTGCACTTGTGACTGGTAAAGCCACCCAGTAGGTGAGTGCTAGATAGTCCCAAGGGCAAGCCTGCCCTTCAGGTTCTCTGAGGATGAATCCCCTCTCCTTCAAGCAATCCCCACATTTGCTAACTGGTGGCAGCACAAGAGGCGTCGTTGCCAGACTACTAGGGGGCGCAGTCAACCCAGCCAGTTGTCAGGCCAAGGGTGGATCCCCATGCGGTTCGGGAAGGTCACAGCTATTCCTGGGTGCCCAAAGGGTCTGGGAATGTTTTCTGGAAGGGACATGACCCCCCTGGTTCCCCCCTCCATGCCACTATCTGAATTCTGGAATTTATCAAAAGTTTTCCCCTGCAAGGGGGCGGGGGGAGCAGGCGAGACTAAGTGCTAGGCTGGCTTTGTTGATACAGAGTATTGTCAGAGAGGTTATGTCCTGTTTTGTCATGGAAGATTTAGGTTCCCTGACCTGAGTCACTTAGGTCACCTCTGTCCCCAGGGCTGGGCCTTCAAGTTTTTACTGTTAGAGGGTTGAGGGTTTATAAGGTGACAGGTGCTATATTAAGTACTCCATAGCCATTTAACCTGCACAATAAAACCACAACCCCTATCTATAGAGTAAGTATGACAGTCTCCTTAAAGTCCCCATTTTACAGGTGGGAAAACAGAGACTCAGAACAATGATACTACCTGCCCTGGAAGGTTCCAGAGCTGCCAGGCATCAAAAGGAGGTTTCCCCTGTGCTGAAATTCACCTGCCTGGCCACAGTGCTGTCTGGGCGCCCACGCTCTTGCACGTTTGTTGTGAAAGGTTTTCGGTCTGAGCCCTTGACCTTGGTGTGCCTGCATCCCAGGGAAGGGTGCTGGGGGCTGGTAGAGAGAAGTGAAGCTTGTGTCTCCAGCTGGTGGGCGGGGCGGGGTGGGAGTGCACGGCAGAAGCACTGTGTCCAGTCTGGGGAGCCTACCTGTCCCCTTTTCTGTCTCTCTTCTCTTTGTCCCGTTTCTCCCCGGGAGGCCAGGCCATTGGTCTTTTGCTCTTCCCTTCTGCTGCTGTAAATGTCAGCTCCGCTGTGGAGGCCTTGGTCTCTCCGTGCCTTTCTCTGCATCTCTGTCTCCTGCTTGCTTAAGCTTCTTAGTTTTGCCCATCCTTAGCCCCAACCTTCAGCTGGAGCCTGTAACCCAGCCCCTCCTGAAGGCCTTCCTCCTTCCTTCCCTCAGTCCTGCACCTTGCTTGGCACCTGCTGGGGCACTCCTGGAAACCCAGCATTCTGCGGGGAACCTGGTGCAAAAAGCCCAGAAGTGACATCCGTGCTCCACGGGAAATGATAGGAGCCTGGGTCCAGGTGCCAGATCAGCTGCACGTAGTCATGACCTTGGTCACGTCACATGTGACTTCTGCAGAATGGACATCCCATTGCCTTTCTGCGGGGTTACTGTGAGATTGCCCAGCACACAGTAAGTGTGCATGTGAAGGTCGCCACACCGGGTCTGGCTTCTGTTTGCCACACTCACTGTGGCCCAGATGCTTTCGCCATGTTTCTGTATTTTTACACGGGGAAAACTGCCCACAGACGTGAGTGGAAGAACAGCGTGTGAAGTGAAACTGTGTCTGCAAACAGCTGGAGCTCTCAGCGCTTGGGTCCGACGAGCTGCTGGGAGGGGAGCCGGCTGCACTCTCTGGAGCGTCTGCCTCTCTGCCACCCTGATCTTCAGATGCACAGCCATGTGTGTGAAATGTTTTCAAGCCCACAGCCTTGAGAAGTGGCAGAGCCAGAACACCAGTGTGGACAGGCTGTCCCCACCTCGGTGCAGTCTCCTCACTGTCTGAGCACTTACTGAACACCTGCTATGCGTCAGCTCCTCACACCTCTAGCTGCAACTGGCTCTCGTGACAACTTCATTTAATACTGGCAAGGGAATGACAAAGTATCATTGTACCCTTTTTCTTTTCCTTTCTTTTGTTCTTTCTTTCTGTCTCTTTTTTCACTTCTCTCTGTCTCTCAGTCTCTCTCCCTCTCTTTATTTTTTTTTGACAGAGTTTTATTTTTATGTTGCCAGGCTGGCCTTGAACTCATGATACTCCTGCCTCAGTCTCCTGAGTGCTGGGCTTACAGGTCTGTGCCACCACACCCAGCTCGTACACATTTAGTGGAGGAGAATATTGGGGCTGGGGATAGATGCTGGGCCTCACTGGAGTCACACAGCAGGTGAGCACACAAATGGGGTCGATGGTTCTAGAGCTGTGCTGACTGGCCTGGGTCCTTTGTGTAAGCCCTTGCTTGGTTTTCACTGCTGAATGACAATGCGTCAAGGGGTTTGGAGGTGAAGGGGTGGAAACTTCTGGCAAGTCCATTCAGAGCCATTCTTGCCCACTCTAGAAAGGGCTAGGCCATGCCAGTGCTGGGCCTCAAGAGCCCCACAGAGCTGGACCCCAAGGTCTACGCTACTCCTTCTGGCCTCCTTTTCCTCCCCGAGTACTGGGGGTTGCACTGAGGGACCTTGCACTGACCTACATCCCTGGCCCTTTAAAAAACACTTTTTTTTTGAGACAGGGTCTTGCTATGTTGCTAAATTGCCAGGACTGGGCTCTAAACTTGTGAACCTCCTTCTTAGCCTCCCGGGTGCCATCCGGGTGTGGCGACCATGTGTGTGTGGGATGACCTGCTGGGAGGTGCCCAGGCCAGGGTGTCCAGTCTGCCCCTTCTTGTTGCTATATTCTGCTAGCTGCCTTCTCCCGCAGGAATCCAGTACTTTCTCCATATCAGGTCCCCCAAAGCCATGAGAGCAATCCCATTGTGCTGCTTCTCAGATAAGGAT